ATATATATATATATATATTTATATGCACATATATATGTGAACGCGCAGGCGCGCGCTTTCAGGAAATCCTATACACTACTGTTTAGGCTCTAAAAACATTCTAAATGACTTCGTTTCGAGTAAATTCTGCCTCGGGCGCCATAGACCTCCATTATTTGAATGTCAGCAGACAGCAAGAAGCCTCCCAGATCTCCAGATGCATTTGAGATATCAAAAAAGTACTCCAGAGTGTTGTTCAGCATGGGGGTGAGTAGAAAATGAAGGCTAATCATGTTTTGGGTGTACTATTCCTTTAAACTTCCAGGCTATTCAAGATGCTATCAGATTCCAAATTCTTATTCAGTACCAGACTACAGATTTTCATCTTTTTTTCTTTTTAAGAATCTGAGCAAGGCTCTGACTACAAAGTTTTGAAAGGCCTTGACCAGTCAAACTACTTACTCACGACTGCATTATTGGAACCACTCTTTGAGTTTTATTAAACCTTAACTCTGGATATTTGTGAAAAAAAAAGTTTTTTTTAATTTTATTTTCTAAATTTTCCTAAGAAACCAATATTTTATATTGTACATGTTAACCAAACAGAGGATCTCCCCCCCAGGGATAGATGTATTAAGGAAATGCCAGCGTGAGTTATGTGGTGTTACAATGTTGAATAAGTGTGAAGGCAAAAATATCAGCACATATGCTTTTAAAAGCTTGTGTTTTTTGGACATATTTTTGTTTTGTTTGTTATTTCCAACAAGACTTTCTGATTCTGGGTGAAGGCTATAGGGACGTGTCTACATGTCTTCACTCAGCTGCAACCTCCATAAGCTCCTGAATAATTCCTGCTTATTCTTGGCGGACCCAGAAGTATACAGCAGTCTCGATGTGACTGAAAAAGAAGCACACTTACATGCATGAGTAACCGAGAAGCTGTTGGACGACTCGAGATTGTCGACATTGTAGTTGAGGTGAAAAGGTTTCTCAGTGGTGTTTTGATTGGTGTTGTAGAGTTGGACAGCAAACCTGAACGCGCTGTGCTCCTGCACAGTGGATCGCATGAACAGTCCCCCTTCAAAGAGATAAATACCAAAATCAGACAACTCTAACGGTGGAATGCACACTCTATAATCATAATTTCCGTCCATTCTTTTTATTGGATGGGAAGTTACTCAGCAGGTACAAAGAAACTGTTATTAATTTAAGAAGCAACTCGTTCATTTCCGAGCAGTGCGCCGGTGTGGAACTCTTCGGAACAGAAAGGGGAAAAATTAATACTCTCTTTGTCTTAAAAATCTCTCAAAAACCATTTCTGACAGTTAATGTAGAAGCTGCAGCTTAATTGAAGCTTTTTATTCAAACCAGCTTCCTTAAGAATGCAGCACTGCCTGTGGAAAATCAAGTTACTCGGCGTCATTGCGCAGAGCTCCGCATGCAGTTTCCAGTATAAAACTGCAATCATGCATTATATTAGCATTACACAAGCAAAAACTGCAGCCGCCCAACACAGCGGGACACTTACCGATGTTAATCTGATTCGGAAATCCGGCCAAGGACTGGTCCGAGAGCCACAGCAGAAAGAAAACCACGCGTTGTGCCATTTTCTCCGACCTGATATTTTCAACTCCTTAAAAGGTTTTCTCTAAGCAGATTCATATGTTCGGGATAGATGCCGGGAATAAATGGAAATCCAGTTGGTAGATGATGGTGGCTCACAGAACACCGATTCATTCATTGAGGTGCAGCCCAGCTGCAGAACATTTTTTTTTTTTTTTTGCAAGTAAGAAAGAGAGGCAGCGAAAGAGACGGAGAGGGAGGGATGTTGGGGGAAGATGAAGCTGATCTGAACTCTGATTGGACCCTTCGCGGCAGGCCAGCGTTGGTCAAACTTGATCTGACGTTAAATTAAAAAAAAGCCTTAGCCTGCTAGATTACGACACCTTGGGAAGAGCTCGGCACTTGTCAATATTAGTCCTCCGCTGACCGAGTCAATAAAAAAAAGAACAAAAAGACACCGCATTCTTATTCTTACTTGGCTAGCTGCTTCCAGATGCGACATCAGTCGCTTTATTGTTCGGATGTAAAGAGAAGCGGCATTTGCTCTGCTGGTCATGTGTAGACTATGATTTTTTTGGCAAATACTCAGAATTACATTTTCAAAGTTTGGTTTAATAGGGAGAGTGAGGAAGAAAGACCCAGGAAATCGCGAGTTGAAAGTAAGATCAGTAAGTGATTAAAATAAATGAAAGTGAAAGAAGAAAGCCAAACATTTTATAGAGTTAACCACACAGTCAGAATTTTAACTTTAGAGGAAAACGCGAAGCCTCAGCGAGCATGGAGCTGACCATGGTGCTGAAAGAGAACCGAACGAAAGTTCTGTTCGCTCAGGGCATGTTTAACCGCATTTATTTATCACCTAATAGATCAGACATTATGTCAACATAACAAAAAAAGAAATATTTTGTTTCCATACGCATGACACTTAAGGAAGACTAACAATATTACATTGCTTTATGTTGGTCTGTGGCAAGATATATGTATTTTAAATCTTCTGTGACATTTTCTTTTTTTTAACCCCTTGAACCCTACGGACCCACCGGTGGGTCCAGCTGCTACGTGACCTCGTAATTTTACCAAACCCCCAGTATTGATGTAAAAAACTTATTTGGCACAGTTTGGTGACATTTATGGATAAATGTGCCAAAATGGCCTCTCCGCCTAAGAAATTTCTCACTAATACCATTCTAAAATAAATATGATTCATCTGATTGAGTCCAAATTTGGTATATTTTTACACAACATTTAGATTTGAAAGTCTGTACTACTTTTTTGTGCTATAAATAATATTTTGGTAGTGTTTTGCAATGTTTATTTCAAAGAAAATTTTGGCGAGGTTCAAAAAATGCAAAATATTTTGTATTTTGTCCCTAATATTTCAGGCAGGGTCAAAGCTACAATGGTGCTGACACCACAAAACCATTCTATGACATCTTACCTTTACAGACGTACCAAAAGTTTCTTCTTAAATCTAATAGCTTTAAGGCTATAAGTTATTTACTTTTGTGTGTTCGTGTCAGGCAGAAATTTATTTATACCCCCTTAGGGTGTAAGAGGTTAAATAAAGTTCAGTGCCACTTCTTTATCACGTTTTTTCTCTTAAAGATGATACAAATCAGAACATGATGGTGAAATGTCGGGAAAAGCACAGAGAGTTTTAATAATAATAATAATATAAGATCTTAAATGTCCAGGATATTGGGTCATGTTGTGATATTACTTAGTCATAAGAGGATGACAATTTGCTGTAGAGTAGGGGTCAAACATAGTCATTTCCAACAAATTATTACATCTCTAGGAGTTTAATATGCTATAAGATTACATTGATATTTTGTCACATGAGTATTGATTTCAAAGTTAAATAATCTTGGCTGCCTGCATTTAATGACTGATAGCATCAGTTTTAGTTTTAGTTTTATTGAAAGGATCCCCATTAGCTACAGCTATGCTGCAGCTATTCTTCCTGGGGTCCTGAAAAAATATATACATTAAAAACAAAACTAAGAATACAACCAATATTTGAAAGAAAAAGAAAATACACAAACAGATATAAAAATACATATACAATATATACACATATTAACGTACATATGTACCCTCATGCGGGTGTGATATATGACAAATATAAAACACATTCTACACTTACACCTGTAAACATGCATACACATATACATACATATTCACACACATATACAGAGATGGCAAAAGTACTCACTTTCCATACTTGAGTAAAAGTACAGATACTTGTGTTAAAAAATACTCTGGTAAAAGTGGAAGTACTGATTAAACTTCTTTACTCAAGTAAAAGTAACAAAGTACAGGCTTGTAAATTTACTTAAAGTATAAAAGTAAAAGTAGAAACCACTTTTTTCATGTCGTTGCCTACATTTTAATGGATGTCTGCCAATAGGACTAGATCTCCGTTGTGTTCATTTTCAATCATCTAGTCGTCCATGCTACTATGCTAACGCCACCGCCACCAAGCTGCAATGATTTGCCGCCAATGAATACCGCCGAATCTGTCGATTCATCTTGTAGTGGTGCGTCAAATGCAACGTAGATTCCCATCCAATTAGATTGAATTTGGTATTGATGACGTGAAAAATAATAACGGTAACTCCTTTGAAATGAAAACTAAAATAACGAGCCAATTTTTTAAAATGTAAGGAGTAGAAAGTACAGATATTTGTGTAAAAATGTAAGGAGTAGAAGTAAATAGTCGCCATAAAAATAAGTAGTAAAGTAAAGTAAAAATATCAGAAAAATCTACTTGAGTACAGTAACGAAGTATTTGTACTTTGTTACTTCCCATCTCTGCACATATATAAATATAAACATTCAGTTATATTATTTTGATAAATGCTGTTTTACATATAATTTGAATTTATTGACATTATTAGCAAGCAGGATATGTTTTGGCAGATTATTCCATTCTTTCATACCTCTAAACACAACAGTATTTTTTATGGCATTTGTTCTCACTATGGGTAAAGTGAAATTATCTTTAGTTGCATGTTTAGTTGCATCATGGCAAGATAAGTGCAAATCTTTGGTTTATTTTTTTTAAACCGTGCTATTACAAAAATAGTTGTAATAGTGGGGATAGAAAAGGATTTTATGAATAGCACGCATGCAATGAAAGTTTTTCTTTTTTTTCCAGACCTGAGCAGGCTGATTATTACAATTGAGGATAATGAATAAGTAAAAGGCAGGTGGTGTGTGTGCGTAGGGTTGGAGGGAGAATTCACCACCAAAGGCACCCAAATAGTTTAGATAAGGCCTCAGCATAATTGATTTTAGATTGTGGTGATTGCACTGTAATATCAGTAATTAGGGCATTTTGGCCATGCTAAATTATAATTATTATCAGAGCTCAGCTTCTGCAGGAGCTCTGTTCTTTCACAAGTGTTACTCGGGAGAGAATAGAATTCTCAAACTCAAAGATATTATTTACGTGACAACAAACTATTATGTGATCTGGATTTTTTAGATTTGAAAAGACACAAAAGGGTGTAACCTAGAAGCAGGCTTAATAAATAGACTGAGGATTAGATAAGGGGAGGTTGCTTTTGTATTAGAAGATGACGATGATTCACAGCCCGTAGCTTCGAGGCTCACCAGCAAGAATTACTCATTTGCTCCCTCTCATCCCTTCCCAACACACCACGATAAAGTTTTCATCTTTTCCTGTTAGAGGGGACATGAATGAATAAGTCTGAGGCTAGTGTAACATTTTCTGCAAAGAAATAATGACAGTCCCTGCCTCTGTTGGTAGTCTAGAGGCAGGGATTGTCATCATCTTTTAGGCTTGATTCAATCATGATTACTGGACAATTATTTTATCATCTTGACATTAGAAACCTACAGTGTGTTATAATCATAGGTCAATTTGATGTGGAATATAATAATTGTTTTTGAAGCAAATTGTGTCACTCCCAGTTAGAGACTGAGCAAAATAAAAAAATAGTGACCTAAACATGCCCAAGAATTATATAAAATGTTTAAACATCCCTACAAAAAGAGCAGACATTGTTACAAGGCCTACTAAGTTTATTTTATTCTTCATCTTGAACTTTGAGCAATTCAGCTTATTAAGATGCCTTAATCTAATAGATTGAATTGTAGAACTGGATGCATGTTTAGGGTTTCCATTACACTGACAGGTGAAGTGCTGTCCTCTTTGGCTGTCTTTAAAACCAAATATGTGGTTACCTACCTCTTTCCATCCCATATTACAACTCTCCTTATTTGTGCTGAATAAAAGCACCCCACTGTATGATGCAATTAATCAGATTTGTAAGATTGAGGTTGGGAGGTTTAGAGAGATGTGTTTTCAGCATTTGCATATAGTTGTTCAATTTTCGTTTTAACTGATCAAAGAACCGTTTTCATTATATCTAATGGTCCATACTGAGCTTTAACTGGACTTTTATTTAAAAATGGCTTTATCCTTGCCACTCTTCCATGAAGGCCACAGTTTTATCATCAACACTCAACAGTTTCTCCCACCTCAGCTGTAGCACTCTATATCACCTCCACAGTTACCATGAACTTCTTGCCTGCTTCTCTGAGTTAATGCTTTCTTAGCTTAGCCTATCCCCAGAAGTGATGGCTGTTTGATGCTGTGCTATACTCTGGTTTTCCATGGATTTCTTGACCAGTTGTTCAAATCTTTTTTACAGAATCTATTTTTCATTTTAAGTTATTTAAAGCTTCTCTGTCTCTGTTCTATCTGATATGTTTCTTGGTTAACATGATGCTATTTATTCGGTAATGTTTGCTAATAAACTTCTTAGGCTTTAACAGAATAGCTCTTTTTATACTGATTTTAAATAACATTCAACTGGACACTGTTTAATTAAGCAACTTTTTAAAGCATTTGAAGTGAAATAAAGATAATGGAATCTGATACATGATCTGGATGGGTGTTTTCATTTAGTTTTTTATATCACTATATCTCTGTATGCATATTTTTCCATATTTTTCTTCCACCTTACATGTTCTTCTTCACCTTGAGACTGTTAAGTTTCCACAAAAAGCCCCATAACATACATGAAGGCTTAGGTTTTTATTTAATAAAATGAGAAAACATTTTAGGTCATGTAAGCCAAAGCATAACATGGCTCAAGCTTGTGTTATATTCACACTCAAAAAAATCTATTTTAAACAACATCTCTAGGCACCTTTTAAAAGCATACTGTGCATAATGTGCAATCTGAATAGCTGTTT